GCACCAGCATCAACACCAGCTGCGGGCAGCACTTGGGCAGCAAATATATTTATGGCTATAACTTCATGTTAATCTATCATAGTGAAACTTGGCATACGGACACATAATCACTAGCTGAGGGTATTTGCAAAATACGAGAGGTATATGAGATCATTAATTGCGAGGGAGAGGGGGGAGGGAGCGAAATTCCAATACCCATTTTCTGCGTATTCATATAAGGCACCTTGGACTAAAATTTGGTGTCCCTAGGTCTTAAAGGTTCCGAGATATAGGCGATTATACGAATGGAAAATCGGGAAAACCCCCATAGGGGGGAAGGGGGAGGGGAAAATCAAAAAAATAAAACAAACTTGCACAGCGTACACACATAAGGCATCTTTGTTCAAAATTTGGTGTTTCTATCTCTTATAGTCTCTGAGATCCACGTGTTCATACGGACAGACGGACAGACTGAAGGACGGACAGACAGACAGACAGGGCTAGATCGACACGTCTTGTTACGCTGATCAAGAATATATATACTTTGTGGGGTCTGCCACGCCTTCTTCTGCCTCCACCTTCACTTCTGATAGACCGATTTAGCAAGAAGTTATAGACATAAATATATTTACTGACCACGCTGCCCAAGCGCTGCTCAAGTGCTGCCCGCGGCTGTTGTTGATGCTGCTGCTTTGGTTGACTGCGAACATGCTTACACAGACACGAATATACGAGCATAAACATACATACAGTCACATAGACGCAATTGCTTTGTATATGTGCAATTATACACCCTTTACATGAGTTCGAATACCAAAAGAGGTAAAATTGATCGAAATTTTTTTTTAATTCTCTTACTTTTTTTTATTTTCTATAATTATTGTAAACATATGTACAAAGTATTTTTAAGTCGGGACACCCGGCTTTAGCTTTTTTACTTGTTTTAGCTTACGAGTGTTTATTCAGTCATATATTTCCGAAACGGTGAAAAACCTCCTTTTCTCCTTTCGGTTTATAGAGGAATTTCAAACTAATCATAACTATTGGAAGTGTTCGATTTTGGCGTTCAATATGTCGTTGGACGCGGAAACAATCTTGTCAACATAGATCCCCCAGGCTCCATCTCAGGATCAAACAAGTAAAAAAGCTAAAGTCGGGTGTCCCGACTTTGAAATACTCTGTACATATGTTTAGAATAAATATAGAAATTAAAAAAAATTAAGAAAATAAACAAAAAAAATTTGATCGATTTTACCTCTCTCGGTATTCGAACTCACGTAAAGGGTGTATAATTGAACATTTACATAGCAATTGCGTCTGTGTGAGTGTATGTATGCCTATGCGCATCTATTCGTGTCTGTGTAAGCATTTTCGCAGTCAACCAAACAGCAACATCAACAACAGCCGCGGGCAGCGCTTGAGCAGCGCTGCAGCAGCGCTGCAGCAGCGCTGCATCAGCAAATATATTTATGGCTATAACTTCTTGTTAAATCGGTCTATCATAATGAAATTTGGCATACGGACACATAATAACCAACTGGGGGTATTTCCAAAATTTTAGTTCGAAATTCCAAGAATTACGGGAGTTACGATTTGCGGGGTAGAGGGGGGAGGGAGGGGAATTCCAAAATATACATTTTCTGCGTATTCACATAAGGCATCTGGGACTAAAATTTGGTGTTCCTAGGTCTTATAGTCTCCGAGATATAGGCGATTATACGAATGGAAAATCGGGAAAACCCCCATAGGGGGGAAAGTGGGGGGGGGAAATCAAAAAAATAAAACAAACTCGTATAGAATACACACATAACGCATCTTTGTGCAAAATTTGGTGTCTCTATCTCTTATAGTCTCTGAGATCCAGGTGTTCATACGGACGGACAGACGGACAGACAGACAGACAGGGCTAGATCGACTCGTCTCGTCATGCTGATCAATAATATATATACTTTGTGGGGTCTGCCACGCCTCCTTCTGCCTGTTACGTTTTTCAGCTCCCGCAAACCTAATATACTCTTGTACATTTCATGTACAGAGTATAAAAATATGTTTTAAATAATGTCATTCAAACAGCGATAAACTTCTTTATGGTCAGTTTATTTGACCATAACACAAAATGTGAAAAGTGTATTTCCGTTGGAGATTAGTGCAGGTAAGCTTAAAACTCAAAGTAGATATAAGGACAAAACTCTCAACATGAAGTTTGACGGTAGTTATGAAAAGCATGAATACCTAGGGAATGGAGCGTACATCTTGAAACAAAACGGGAACTTATCCCTCCTCGGACTTTAGAAGAACATATGTATATACTAAGATTAATAGTAATTATATTATAGCTTATATTCCGATATGATTGTGAGGCGGGGCTGCGTGACGATGACGATTAACGAAATCCATGAGTGGCAGAAGCACCAAAACAAGGTATTAGCACACTACTCTACGCATCTATATATCAACTCATTTTGTATTTATGCTCAACTCCCTTTTTGTATTCATATTGTAAATAATTTTATGGGAGATATAAAAAGGAGGGTTGATTTAATCCCAGAAGGAAGCTAAGGATGTAATTGAATCTATGGCTCTGCTTCTGTTGTCAACCCAATCGGACATATATCGTGAATTTATGCTTTAAATTGTAATCGTCTAAGATTCTATAACCATAATATGTTATTCTTGTTATAAAAACAAGAGAGAACGCTACAGTCGAGTAAGCCCGACAGTAAAATACCCTGTACTCTCCACAAAAAAAAAAAAGAAAATTTAAAAACAATTTATTAAAAAAAAATAAAGTTAATTAATTAAATTAAATAAAAAATATTCAGTTCATATGTACATACATACATACAAAGTACAGTTTCAACAGCTTACATTTACATCTTCGTGTCTATGCGTGTTTATATGCGTACAGGAATGAGTCAAAGCAACAACAGCCGCGGGCAGCGCTGCTAGCAGAGCTACAAGCAGAGCATGGGCAGCGATTTTATTTATGGCTATAATTTTCTTCAGAATTTACCTATCATGATGAAACTTGACATACGGACTCATAATCACTAACTGGTATTTGCCAAAATTCCAAAAATTACGGACATTATGGAAAAAACTTTGCGGGGGAGTGGGGAGATGCATCGAAAAAAACTCAAACTCGTAGTTTCTCGGAGGAGACTCTCGATACCAAGTTTGGTTGTTCCAGCTCTTATACTTTCTGAGATCCTTGCGTTCATACAGACGGTCGGACAGACAGACGGACATGGCTTTATCGACTCGGCTTGTCATCCTGATCAATAATATATCTACTTTTGGGGGTCTGCTACACCTCCTTCTGCCTGTTACATACATTTGCTCAAAACTAGTATAATTTTCACCCTTTGGGTACAGGGTATAATGAGTATACTAAAGTTGTGTCACCCCGACCCTTTAATACTCTGTATCCATCCGTTCCGTCATTCAAATAAAATAAACCTTTGTCCCCGTATTGAAAATATATGTACATATGTATAATATAGTTTACCAATTTTTCTGTACAAAGCTCATAAATGCTAAATTTGCTTCAGAATTGCATATAAACCAGACTAATTTCGGTTCTAAGTCGATTTATGCACCGATTATAACTATATAATGAGCCGATTCTGATGAAATTTTAGAATATGGTGAATCACTAGCGAAGCATGTTATTTTTAGGGCTTTTTCACCGTTTAGTAACAGGATACAAAGATATCATTAAGCAGCGTGAAAGTCTTCTGCGGATCGCACTCATTGGTTTTTAATTGGTTTATAATCTTTGTTGTTGAATTATTGAAATGTGTTTGTTGGCCTTTTGAAAACTTTGTGGACTTGTATGCTCTGTTCCTGAATGGTAAAAGGGCATCCTCACTTAGAACGACGTATATTTAACGGAAAATGTGAAAATATTTTTTTTTGATATGGTAATACTCGACCATTATATACCAAATAAAATGTATATAAATGAAAAAATTATATCTAATATATCCTGCAATTAACTAAAATTGAACTGAAGTACACGTATTAGCTGTCGCAGAAGTTGCCCGACTTTTGGAGAAAATAATACAAGTATGAATAATTCATATCAATTAAAATATTTGATTCAAATTCAAACAATTTCGTAACAATACTGCCAACATAAATTCAGATTGCCTGAAAAATATCCTCAAAAATTGTATCAATTAAATCAACCGCAGCATTAAAAGAGGGTAGTTGCAGGGCGCATGAGTGGAATTTCGCACTCGTGATAGGCCTTATAAACCGAACGTGTTTTGTCGCCACCAGCTGCCCACACAACAAACTTGAAACTTCAGACCACTATCATAAGAAGGGCCTAACTTCAAACTTAAAGCTGCTAAATTGAAATAAGTATAGCGATAAAAATGCACTTGTTAGTGGTATTTATTGAAGTATCTGACAAAGCGGAGTGAAAACTGATTTAACAAATTTATCGCCAACAAGGGATGCCCTCGTTCCTCTACTCGGCGCACAGAAATAATTTGAGCTCTCTTTCCATGCAGGGAATATTGGCCTATGCCCAAAAGAATTCACGTGTCCACATATGTAAATATTTCCCACATCCTCGTGATTACATAAACATTAATATTAGAATTGTCGCCTGTAGCCGATTATAGTCATTAGTTCTAGCGCAGGAAAATATATTCGTATGTACACGTATATGTGATTGTATTCGTATCTACGTCCTTATATTATACGCATGTATTTGCAGTGGAAGGTTCTTTGTTGTGTTTTTTTTTTTTTTTTGGTGTTTTCATATTCACAACGCAATCTCAAGATTTAACGAGATTTTTTTTTAGTAGGCCACTGATTTGATTATTATAATTAACACGTCACTCTTGTTCGTTGGCGAGGAAGAAGATTTTTTGCACTTTCGCACTCCACAATTTAAATTTTTAACTGAGACCCGTCAATGAGCATTTTGGCATGCTGCACTTGCAGCCCTTTTCGACGTGCGAGATCTCGCTCAAAAGGAGAAGAAAATATTATTTTTAGCTATTTACAGTGGAGGGTACGGCGCAGTCAGCAAGCGTTGGAGGTGGCCTTTTTACAGCATCTGTGGTGATGTCACAACAACAACACCACCAACAACTCAAATACACACAGAAAATAAAGAGGGGCACCACTAAACACTGCCTTAATTTAGGGCGAGCCGGCACGTCCGCTTTCGATGTCAACGTATGCAGTGAGCGCGCTAGACTGGCACGCTCAATGACACGAGTGTTTACGTCGAGCCCCAATGAAACACGAAATGTTGCGAGCGGAGAAATTATAGGAATTGGGAAAGCGAAAGCGCAGAGCCTGCTCTCTTATATAGTAATGCGCAACACATGCCGGTTGGCACTCTTCTACGTTTGAAGACCTAATTTTTTACTAATTTATGTAACGTTTGCAATCAGTGGAGCGATTCAAAATACAACACAAGTCTAGTGCCGTGTGATTTTGTCCTTCCTTTTATTTACCACATGAACGGTTATCCATGCCGTGATGGAATTACACCCCTAGAATTATGATAGAATTATGGATACGAGAATTAAAAATATTTTATAAGTGAGGATTAATCGTGCGCTGCTAAAATTCTTCTTTTTATTTATTTTATTTTTTTTTTTGGTTCTTTTTCATGTATTAATGAAACTTACAAACTAAAAAATACATTTTAACAAATTACAATGAGAATGCCTCTATCTCAGTTGAGGATTTGGCTCTTTAGCCGTTTCAACGGCTGTCATCGCCGTAACTAGACCCAGACGACACAATTAAAATATAACAATTTGAAATATGAAGAAATCGCATCTCATATATCGATGTAAGAAGATAAAAAGGCATTTAAAACCGAAAACGAAAAGTTTGCACATTTGAATCGCTCTTGCTCGTTGTAGCATTTTACTTGTTCTCTCTTTAAACAAAATGATTAATTTTACAAACTGATGAGCACTTATTTTCGTGTGGTAAAATATTACGAGGATATACTGCATCCTGTTTGCTGCCTAAACAAGAGAGAACGCTACAGTCGAGCAAGCCCGACAGTGTAATACCCTGTACCCAGGTAAACTTCCGTCACTGAGTTATATGCGCCCATAGCAGCAGCAAAAAGAGTAAGAAGAAGAGCGAACTTGTTGCTGCAGTTTGTGTGGGTTGTACTGGCGAGAATTTTTTTTGCTAATAACTTTTCTTAGAATTGACCGAATTGAATAAAATTTGAACAACAGTAGACAATTATATATAAATTATGTGTGCAAAGGTTGGTTTAGGTAGCATTTGAAATGTGGACGCTATTGACGAAATTCTGTAGCGGGGGAATGGGGGGAAAATTCCAAAAAATAAAATAAACTCGTCCTTTCTCGGACATAGGAGAATCTGGGTACCAACTTTGGTTATTCTAGCTTTTATAGTTTCTGAGATCCTTGCGTACATCTAGACGGGCGGACAGACGGACGGACGGACGGACATGTCTAGATCGATTTCTCTCGTCATGCTGATTCAGAATATATATACTTTATGGGGTCGGAGATGCCTCCTTCTGCATGTTACATACTTTGCACAAACCTAATATACCCTTTTTACCCTACGGGTACAGGGTATAAAAAGCATATAATGTCAACAAAGCGAACCTTGAAAGCCGATAGACAAAGGTACGTATAAATCCAGTCATCGAGCTGATTATGAGACTGTGACGGCAGCGTTGCTTCATCAACTGGAGGGGGAGGGCAATCGTTCCTCTGCCAGTGAATTCCCTTTGATCCAGTGTGAACACTTAACGTGCCGTAAACCATCTCAAAAAAGCCACTCATGTGGAATTCACTTGAAACTCGCAGATGTTAATGTACTGTTGACAGTGTCCCCCCAACGCAGACACACGTGCTAAATGTAACCTTAGCGAGAATAGAATAGAGCTAGTATCCTGGACATGCTACCATACTTGTATAATTTGCATGGGTGAAATCTTTTCGAAATAAGTTTCGTCGTATACGGAGATACACACATAACAGCATATGAGTACTACATACAAGTATGTACACATGTACGAATAAAATTTCAACGAGTCCATCACCACCGTCAGTTGATGAGGTTGGAAACACCTTTTATTCCTTGCTAACAGGCCGGGCTAAGTACTGTTGCTTACAACTACATATTGAGCTCGGTTTTAGACAAGTTATATAGAAACTAGTGCATGTATGAGTTATGTGTACGGGTACTATACTAAACAAGGAAGAAATTTGAAACTGGTAAAATCTAGGAAGCTGAAATTGGGACATAAGTTTAATTAGTACATAGTGTAAGTGAACATGTTTTGGAAAATTCGATCTACAATTTTCATCTGATTAACTTTAAGCTTAGTTTGTATACAAATACAAAACAAGAAAGGAATGTTAAAGTCGAGCGAGCTCAACTTTTAAATTCCCTGTACCTGTAAAAAAGGAAACAAGAGAGAACGCTACAGTCGAGCAAGCCCGACAGTGTAATACCCTGTACCCAGGTAAACTTCCGTCAATGAGTTATATGCGCTCAAAGCAGCAGCAAAAAGAGGAAGAATAAGAGCGATCTTGTTGCTGCAGTTTGGGGGGGTTGTACTGGCCAGAATTTGTTTCGCTAATAACTTTTCTTAGAATTGACCGAATTAAATAAAATTTAAACCAAAAGTAGATAAGTATATAGATTGCGTGGCTTATGTAGCTTTTGAAATGTGGACAGTATTGACGAAATTCTGTAGCGGGGGAAGGGGGGAAATTCCAAAAAATAAAATAAACTCGTCCTTTCTCGGACCTAGGAGAATCTCGATACCAACTTTGGTTATTCCAGCTTTTATAGTTTCTGAGATCCTCGCGTTCATCATGACGGACGGACAGACGGACGGACATGTCTAGATCGATTTCTCTCGTCATGCTGATTCAGAATATATATACTTTATGGGGTCGGAGATGCTTCCTTCTTCATGTTACATATTTTGCACAAACCTAATATACCCTTTTTACCCTACGGGTACAGGGTATAAAAAATAAAGAAAATTAAAAAAAAATGTTGATCGATTTCTTCTGGCCAGTACAACCCCCCCAAACTGCAGCAACAAGTTCGCTCTTTTTCTTCCTATTTTTGGGCGCATATAACTCAGTGACGGAAGTTTACCTGGGTACAGGGTATTACACTGTCGGGCTTGCTCGACTGTAGCGTTCTCTCTAGTTTAATTTCTATAATTATTGTAAACATATGTACAGAGTATTTCAAAGTCGGGACACCCGACTTTAGCTTTTTTACTTGTTATTAATAATTTATTTAACATTTTTTTTTTTTAATTTTGCCTTTTTGTGGAGAGTACAGACTATTTTACTGTCGGGCTTGCTCGACTGTAGCGTTCTCTCTTCTTTCAAATGAAAAGTTTGTGCTATAAACTTTGCACGACCGATTTCAAATTTGGGGAAAATAATCAACATAACTAGATCTACAAATTGGCATACAACGATTATGTAAATTTAGATATGCTACTATATGTACTATGTATGTTTCCTGCTGCCTGTTACATATTTTGGACAAATCTAATATACCCTTTTTACCCTACGGGTACAGGGTATTAAAAAATAAGAAAATACGCTAATAATTATTCCAATTACTTGCACATAGTCTATCTTAAAATGTTGCGTTGTGTATATATATGTATTTTAAAGTTTAACCAAGAGAGAACGCTACAGTCGAACAAGCTCGGCAGTGAAAAAAAAAGGTAAAAAAGCTAAAGTCGGGTGTCCCGACTTTAAAATACTCTGTACATATGTTTACAATAATTATAGAAAATAAAAAAAAAATTAAGAAAATAAAAAAAAATTCAATGATCGATTTTACCTTTCTCGGTATTCGAACTCACGTAAAGGGTGTATAATTGCACATTTACATAGCAATTGCGTCTGTGTGAGTGTATGTATGCCTATGCGCATCTATTCGTGTCTGCGTAAGCATTTTCGCAGTCAACCAAACAGCAACATCAACAACAGCCGCGGGCAGCGCTTGAGCAGCGCTGCAGCAGCAAATATATTTATGGCTATAACTTCTTGGTAAATCAGTCTATCATAGTGAAACTTGGCATACGGACACATAATTACTAACTGGGGGTATTTGCAAAATTTTAGATTGAAATTACAAGAATTACGGGAGTTAGAGAAAATTGCATTTGCGGGGGAGAGGGGGAAGGGAGGGAAATTCCAAAATATACATTTTCTGCGTATTTACACAAGGCATCTTGGACTAAAATTTGGTGTTCCTAGGTCTTATAGTCTCCGAGATATAGGTGATTATACGAATGGAAAATCGGGAAAACCCCCATAGGGGGGAAGTGGGGGGGAAAATCAAAAAAATAAAACAAACTCGTATAGAATACACACATAACGCATCTTTGTGCAAAATTTGGTGTCTCTATCTCTTATAGTCTCTGAGATCCAGGTGTTCATACGGACGGACAGACGGACAGACAGACAGACAGGGCTAGATCGACTCGTCTTGTCACGCTGATCAAGAATATATATACTTTGTGGGGTCTGCCACGACTCCTTCTGCCTGTTACATTTTTGAGCTCCCGCAAACCTAATATACTCTTGTACATTTCATGTACAGAGTATAATAATTTCAAAAAATCATTAATTTTAAAACAAGTGGAGAAGCTAAAGTCAGCATGACAAGACGAGTCGATCTTGTCTGTCTGTCTGTCCGTCCGTTTGTCCGTATGAACACCTAAATCTTAGAGACCATAAGAGCTAGAGGCACCAAATTTTGCACAAAGATGCCTTACGTGTACGCTGTGCAAGTTTGTTTTATTTATTTGATTCCCCCCACTTCCCCACTATGGGGGATTTTCGGAAACGCCATTCGTATAATCACCTATATCTCAGAGACTATAAACTCTAGGGACAGCAAATTTTAGTCCCAGGTGCCTCATGTAAATACGCAGAAAATGAGTCCTATTTTGGAATTTGCCTCCCTCCCCCCCTCTCTCCAGCAATCATTGATTTTCCAGAGAATTACGGGAGTTAATTCTTGGAATTTTGCATTGAAATTCGG